TCCTCCTCCTCCTCCTCCTCCTCCTCCTCCTCACGCACACAGCACAGCACAGCACAGCACAGCAGACCGCAGCACAGCATAGGACAGCACAGCACAGCACAGCTCAGCACAGCCCAGCACAGCACAGCAAAGCGTGGCAGGCGTGGGGGTGGTCCCTGAGCTCGCCCGCTATCCACGACACTGTCGCAAAGCCTAACAGGCGTGGTACTTTCTCGACACCAGAGGGGGTGCGCAGGGGGTGGTCCCTGAGCTCGCCCGCTTTCCACGACACTGTCGCAAAGCCTGGCAGGCGTGGCAGTTTCACGACACCGTATGGGGTGCGCAAGGGGGTGGTCCCTGAGCGCGGCCGCTATCCACGACACTGGTCGCAAAGCCTAGCAGGCGTGGCACTTTCTCGACACCAGAGGGGGTGCGCAGGGAGTGGTCCTTGAGCGCGGCCGCTATCCACGACACGGCCGCAAAGCCTAGCAGGCGTGGCACTTTCACGACACCAGAGGGGGTGCGCAGGGGGTGGTCCCTGAGCTCGCCCGCTATCCACGACACTGTCGCAAAGCCTAGCAGGCGTGGCAGTTTCACGACACCGTAGGGCGTGCGCAGGGGGTGGTCCCTGAGCGCGGCCGCTGTCCACGACACTGTCGCAAAGCCTAGCAGGCGTGGCAGTTTCACGACACCGTAGGGGGTGCGCAGGGGGTGGTCCATGAGCGCGGCCGCTATCCACGACACTCTCGCAAAACCTAGAAGGCGTGGCACTTTCCCGACACCAGAGGGGGTGCGCAGGGGGTGGTCCCTGAGCTTGCCCGCTATCCACGACAATGGCGCAAAGCCTAGCAGGCGTGGCAGTTTCACGACACCGTAGGGGGTGCGCAGGGGGTGGTCCCTGAGCGCGGCCGCTACCCACGACACGGTCGCAAAGCCTAGCAGGCGCGGCACTTTCTAGACACCAGAGGGGGTGCGCAGGGGATGGTCCCTGAGCGCGGCCGCTATCCACGACACTGGCGCAAAGCCTAGCAGGCGTGGCACTTTCTCGACACCATAGGGGGTGCGCATGGGGTGGTCCTTGAGCTCGCCCGCTATCCACGACACTGGCGCAAAGCCTAGCAGGCGTGGCAGTTTCACGACACCAGAGGGGGTGCGCAGGGGGTGGTCCCTGAGCTCGCCCGCTATCCACGACACTGTCGCAAAGCCTAGCAGGCGTGGCAGTTTCACGACACCGTAGGGGGTGCGCAGGGGGTGGTGCCTGAGCGCTGCCGCTTGCCATGACACTGTCACAAAGCCTAGCAGGCGTGGCACTTTCTCGACACCAGAGGGGGTGCGCAGGGGGTGGTCCCTGACTTCGCCCGCTATCCACGACACTGGTCGCAAAGCCTAGCAGGCGTGGCACTTTGTCGACACCAGAGGGGGTGCGCAGGGGGTGGTCCCTGAGCGCGGCCGCTATCCACGACACTGTCGCAAAGCCTAGCAGGCGTGGCAGTTTCACGACACCGTAGGGGGTGCGCAGGGGGTGGTCCCTGAGCTCGCCCGCTTTTCACGACACTGTCGCAAAGCCTGGCAGGCGTGGCAGTTTCACGACACCGTAGGGTGTGCGCAAGGGGGTGGTCCCTGAGCGCGGCCGCTAGCCACGACACTGGTCGCAAAGCCTAGCAGACGTGGCACTATCTCGACACCAGAGGGGGTGCGCAGGGGGTGGTCCATGAGCGCGGCCGCTATCCACGACACTCTCGCAAAGCCTAGCAGGCGTGGCACTTTGTCGACACCAGAGGGGGTGCAGCAGGGGGTGGTCCCTGAGCTCGCCCGCTATCCACGACACTGGCGCAAAGCCTAGCAGGCGTGGCACGTTCTCGACACCAGAGGAGGTGCGCAGGGGGTGGTCCCTGAGCTCGCCCGCTTTCCACGACACTGTCGCAAAGCCTAGCAGGCGTGGCAGTTTCACGACACCGTAGGGGGTGCGCAGGGGGTGGTCCCTGAGCGCGGCCGCTATCCACGACACTGTCACAAAGCCTAGCAGGCGCGGCACTTTCTCTACACCAGAGGGGGTGCGCAGGGGGTGGTCCCTGAGCTCGCCCGCTATCCACGACACAAAGCCTAGCAGGTGGGCACTTTCTCGACACCAGAGGGTTGCGCGATCCCTGAGCTCGCCCGCTATCCACGACATTGGCGCAAGCCTAGCAGGCGTGGCAGTTTCACGACACCGTAGGGGGTGCGCAGGGGGTGGTCCCTGAGCGCGGCCGCTATCCACGACACTGTCGCAAAGCCTAGCAGGCGTGGCAGTTTCACGACACCAGGGGGGTGCGCAGGGGGTGGTCCCTCAGCTCGCCTGCTATCCACGACACTGCGCAAAGCCTAGCAGCGTGGCACTTTCTCGACAAAACCAGAGGGGGTGCGCAGGGGGTGGTCCCTGAGCTCGCCCGCTATCCACGACACTGTCGCAAAGCCTAGCAGGCGTGGCAGTTTCACGACACCGTAGGGGGTGCGCAGGGGTGGTCCCTGAGCTCAGCCGCTATCCACGACACTGTCGCAGGGCCTAGCAGGCGTGGCACTTTCTCGACACCAGAGGGGGTGCGCACGGGGGTGGTCTCTCACCGCGGTCTCTATACGCGCCAATGTCGCAGGGCTTAGCAGGCGTGGCACTTTCTCGACTCCAGAGGGGGTGCGCAGGGGGTGGTCTCTCACCGGGGTGGTCCCTCACCGCGGCCGCTATGCACGACGGTCGTCCAGGGCATAGCAGGCGCAGCATTTTCTCGACACCATAAAGGCTGCGCAGGGGGTGGTCCCTCACCGCGGCCGCCATGCACGACGGTCGTCCAGGGCATAGCAGGCGTGGCACTTTCTCGACACCATAGAGGGTACGCAGGGGGTGGTCCCTCACCGCGGCCGCTGGCTGGCTCGAATCTGTCCTCGATGGAGGATAGAAGGCTAGGAAGAGGGAGGAGGTTCAAGCAATATGGCGTTGGATGACACAGAGGGGAACATTCGCGACGAGGGCTGAGAACGCAGAATTGCGCATATTTGATAAACTTAAGCAAGCACATAAGATTTAAATTAAGTATGTGGGGTTCCTCGGTAGCGTAATTTGTTTTACGGAGTTTGACATTTGCTTCTTTTCGGCCTTCCGACGGCCCGAGACGGCCCAAGAGCCCCCAAAGATCGCCCAAAGATCGCCCAAGAGGCCTCCAAGATGGCCGCAGAACGGCCAGAGAGGCCCCCAAGACGGCCCCAAGAGGCCCCCAAGACGGCCCAGGAGGCCTTTCAGACGACAGATGGCCTCCAAGACGGCCCCGGAGCATTCCAAGAGGGCCTCAAGTCGGCCCAGAGAGGCCCCCAAAACGGCTTCCGACGGCGTCAGACGGACCAGGAGCCCACCAAGACGGCCGAACATGGCCCTAAGACGGCCCAAGACGGCCCAAGAAGCCTCCAAGAGGGCCTCCAGGAAGGCCCGAAAAGGCCACAAACATTGATTTACCATAGGTTTTTGAAGGATTGTGGCATTTACTTGTTTTCGGCCTTCCGACGGTCCGAGACGGCCCAAGACCTTGGGAGCTGCCAGCGGCTGGGGGGCATCTGTTTTGGGCGGTTCGGTGCAAAAATCGATCGAACTCTCTCTCTCTCTCTCTCTCTCTCTCTCTACACACACACACACACACGGGGCACACACACACACACACACACACACACACACACACACACATACGCGCGCACGCACGCACGCACGCACGCACGCACGCACGCACGCACGCACGCACGCACGCACACACACACACACACACACAGACACACACACACACACACACACACACACACACACACACACACACACACTTTGCGGGATCCCGACAGAAGTGTGGAGGGCTGGGTCTGCAGCACTCCTCAGGGTCAGTGCCGCTCCCTCCCTCTCCCTCCCTCCGTCGCCGTATGCTGCATGCTGCATGCTGCATGCGCCAGGGCCCGGCCTGGCCTCCAGGGGGGCCCCCCGCGGGGGGGGGCCCAGCGGGGAGCATCTGGGGAGGGCTGGAGGCCCCAAAACCTCTGGCGACCCCTCCGCGGAGGGTGCCTCCAGGGGGGTGCAGTCTCCAGGGGGGGCCAGCCTCCGGGAGGGGGGCCTCCAGGGGGGCGGCTCCCCGCGGCCCTCGCCGAAGCCCCGAGCGGCACCCGCAGCCGCCGGCCCGCCGGAGCCGCCGCGAGTCGGCGCCGGCAGAGGGGGCGCCGCGCGCCCACGGCGGAGGAAGAGGAGGAGGAGGAGGAGGAGGAACATGAGGAGGTCGAGGAGGAGAATGAGGATGAGGAGGAAGAGGAGGAGGAGGAGGAGGAGGGAGGAGGAGGAGGAGGAGAGAGGAGGAGGAGGAGAAGGAGAGGAGGGAGGAGGATGAGGAGGAGGAGGAGGAGGAGGGAGAGGAGGAGGAGGAGGAGGAGGGGAGGAGGAGGAGGAGGAGAGGAGAGGGGAAGTGAGGAGGAGGAGGAGAGGACGAGGAGGAGGAGGGGGCGCTGGCACCCACGGCGGAGGAAGAGGAGGAGGAGGGAGGAGGAGGAGGAGGAGGAGGAGGAGGAGGAGAGAAGGAGGAGAGAGGAGAGTGAGGAGGGAGGAGGAGGAGGAGGAGAGAGGAGGGAGGAGGAGGAGGAGGAGGAGGAGGAGGAGGAGGAGGGAGTGAGGAGGAGGAGGAGGAGGAGGAGGAGGAGGAGGGAGTGAGGAGGAGGAGGGGGAGGAGGAGAAGGGCGCCCTACGGCGCGGCGGCCGCGGCGGCCTCGGCGCCGGTCGCGGAGGCCAGCGCCAGGGCGCCGGCCACCAGGCCAGCGGAGGCGGCCGCGTCGCCGCGGAGGAGCAGGCCGCGGGCCTGCCTCAGCGCGAAGGGGTAGGCCGCCTGGAAGATGTCGAAGGACTCGTCCCCCGCCATGGCGATGCCCTCCAGCGTGAGGATGGCGCGGGTGAGGAGCGGCGGCGCGCCGGGGCGGCCGCACGCCAGAGCGGCCCCGAGCAGGAGAGCGAGCTGTTCGGGGCGCGGATCGGGGTGCCACGGCGGGGCATGTCGTGACTATTTTTTGATTGCTTTTTAACTTGAACCCAAGCGCGCCAGCCGGTTCTGGGCGGCACCGGGGGGGGACCCCTCCGGGCGCGCACCGAGGGCCCCTCCGGCGCGAAGGGTCGCTCTCGGGTGTGGCGCCGACAGGGGAGGGCAGAGGGCCCGGCCTCTCCTCGGAGGGCGGCGAGGCTTCTCGGAGCCCCCGCGCTTTGCTGGGAGGCCGCCTGTGGCTGCGGGTGGTTCGGGGCCACAAGCAATGACGTGAACCTAGAAGCTCGGAGGCCCGCGCAGGCCTCTCGGATCGGCAGTGGACCCCCTCCTCGGCGCGCAGAGCGCGCCAGGGGCGGCGCCGGAGGCGCCGCCAGGGGGCTCCGGCGCCGATCCGAGAAATCCGCGCGGACCTCCGAGCTTTCACGTGCATGTCGCTGCTCGTGCCCACAGACGGGGGCCACATGCGAACCCTGCCCCTGCCCCCCACGACTTCTGACGGGGAGGGTGGGGTTCACTTCGCTCGGGAGCTCCCGAACGGAGTGAACCCAACCCTCCCCCTCAGAAATCGTGGGGGGCAGGGGTAGGGCTCGCATGTGGCCCCCTGCCACAGGGCTGGAAGGCTTCCCGGAGGGCGGTGGAGCTGCCGAGAGGAGCCCCGCCGCCTTCACGGGGAGGGCCGGCTCTCCCTCCGCCCTGTGCCTCTGCCCCCTCGGGCGCGCCGCCGAGCTGAGGGCAAAGTAGGGCGGCACCTCGAAGGGGAGCTCGAAGAAGATCTGGTTGAGGTCGTCGGACACGGTCTTGAAGTTCTTGGCCCTGGCTCGCATGTCGCTGCCGGCCTGCACGGTGAGGTCGAGAACTTTGGACAGCACCGCCACTATCGACTCTCTGTCCGCGTCAGAGGGCAAGAAGCCTAAGGCCACCAGGTCGTCGAAAAGGCGGACGTAGTCGCCGCTAATGAGGTGCACTGTCATGAAGGTAAGCCTGTTCATGTCTGGCCTGTCGATTCGCGCAACCAAGCCGAAATCGATGAGCACCAGTTGTCCGTCCCGCACGAGGATGTTCCCAGGGTGCGGGTCGCTATGGAATATTCCGAGCTCCAGCAGCTGGAGGCAGAAGCACTCGATACCGACAGGCACCAGCTTCTGGACAACCTCTGGGCTGCAGGCGGCGAGTTTCGGCCCCTCGACCCACTCGGTGACGAGAACTTTGCTGGACGTCACCTCCCAGACTACTTCTGGAATGTAAAGGCGGCCTGGCATCAGCGCCTCCAGAGCTTCCTTGAACTGCTCCTGGGACCCACCTTCTGCCAGGTAGTCGAGCTCAGACCACGTGCCCGCAGCCCAAACGTCAACGAGCATCACGTGGTCCGTCCGCTGCCGCGTCAGGCGCCGCACGACGGCCCGCAACGCCACGGCGAGCCCACGGATCAGGTACAGGTCCAGGGACACGGCGTGCCTCAGGTCGGGCCTCTGCACCTTTACCGCCACGTCGCGGCCGCCGTACTCCCAACGGTAGACCTGCCCCAGCGACGCCGCGGACACGGGCCGCGGCGCGCCGCCCACGCCGCCGAAGACCTGCCCCGGCTCGGCCCGGAGGCCCTCCGCGAGCACGGCCCGCGCCAGCTCCCAGTCGAACGCGGGGCACTGGTCGCAGAGCTGCAGCAGCTCGCGCAGCGCGGGCGCCGGGAGCAGGTCGGGCCTGGAGGCCAGGGCCTGGCCCAGCTTGATGAAGGTCGGCCCCGCCGCCTCGAGCAGCCTCCGCAGCTCCGCCGCGCGGGTCGCCTGCGCCGCGGGCTCCGCCAGCTCGCCGCGGCGCCACTCCAGGCCGGAGCGCAGCGCGAAGGGCCCAAAGGTGCGGGCGAGGCCGAGGCACCTCCGCCGCGCCGCCCAGGGGCGGACGCGCCAGTGTGCCGCGATCTCCTGGGCATCGTAGGCGACGGGTTCGGTGGCAACTCACGGGAGCCTCCCATACCATCTCCTCGGCTCTTGCGAATCGGCGCTAGATCGGCGCGAATCGACGCCAAATCGACGCTTACCGACGCTACATGGGCAGTTACCTCGCATCGACTCCCAGACGCCTGCCGACGCCAATCGACGCTACCGACAGAACGACGAGGGCACACGAGGCTCCCATGTGATTTGCTACCGAAGACGGGGAGGGCTTCCGCATCCGGGTCAGGCTCCAGGCGCGCAGACGCGGCACCGGCGCAGGCGCCAGCCGCGACCAGCGCCGCCGCTCCGCAGGCGCGGGGGCGCGCGAGGCAGGCAGCGCGGGCGAACGACAGGCTCGGCATCCGCGCGGCGGCTGCTGGCG